ATATATATATATATATATATAAATTATGTGTGCAGATCTGACAATATTGGATATCAATGAATGTTCATGATGCTTTTGTGTAAATCAACAGTAAATTTGAATGAGCTTTAGTAGAAGACATCTATGAAGAGGGCTGGATAAATAGTAAAAATGTATTTGTCACATTCTATCAAAATTATCTTAACACATTACTATTGTTATAAACTTTTGGTATTTCTAAAGGCTTCTGCAGATGTTTGTTCAGCAGTGAAGTTTACCACAGTATATATAACATAAAGAATGTTTGCCAACATTGTTAGTTATTCTCATTACTGTGATTTTGTTTTAGGTGACTCCAGCTACACTAAAATACCAAGGATAATCACAGTTCTAAATAATTCCACTATACATGAAGAGAAAGATATAATGCTTAACTTAAATCATCTCATTCAATTGTAAAAAGATGTCATGGAATACTGAAACTGAGATTCAGACGATTAGATAAACCTGGTTGATGTTAATCCATAACCCTGCCAAAGAATGTCTGGCTTGCTCTATCTTGCACAATATATGTATTGAGCTCAGGCTTTCATTACAAGAAGATTTTCTATCTATCCCTGAAGACAATGAAGAATTATGCCTGGAGCCAAATCAACAGAAATACAGAAAATTTAAGAGTTTGAATTCAACTTACATATGATTTTTTCTTGCATAGATTGTGTATCATCATCAGAAGTACGAGAAACTGACTTTATTGTTATATTAAGAAAATGATAGTTTAGGTGTTTCATACAGTGTGCACAATAAACTGATTGTATTAGTATGCATAAGCTTTTCCAAGTTTAGAAGCATTAGTTTCCCCTAGTACCACTTTATAGTCATCTGCATATGTTCCATGTAGCCTAAACTAAAAGTTCTGTATGCTGAAAATATGTATTGAAGCCGTGAAATTTGTAAAATATCCTACAGAGATAGAAAATGCATATTGCATTAACTGAGAAGGTCACAAAAATAAGAGATGGGGCAGGAACAAGAATATTATTGACCCACATAGCCCATAACAACTGTTCCCTGTCTTTAAATGCCAGTCTTTACCTCTTCATGAACTTTCTATTTTGTACATTTTAAACACATCCTTTGCAATTAAATAAACGTAATTATTTGCTGAATCATTGAATTTTGGCGTTCTTACATGGAATTCATTTTCTCGGAACTTGCATCATTCAAAGATTAAAAAAAGTATGAGAAGGAAAGGAAATAACTCTAGCTTGGAAGTCGTAGAGTTTATTGGTGTTGTGGAAAAGTGACAACGTTTTATTTGATACATTAGGTGGTAAAAGTAGGAAATACAATTAGTAAAATGGTTCCAGCAGAAATTAAATAACCATAAGCATAGAGTTCTCCCCAGTGGAAGTTGGAGGTTGATCCCCATAAAAAGGGGCACTGTGGGCAAAGGCCCTAGACACTTTGCAATTATAAAGAATATTCAACAGATATTGTTGGTGGAATAGAGATATTACAAAATACAGAAAGTACATTTAGATTGTCATACATAGTTCTAATGCTGTTCAATTCTCCTTTTATCACAAGTCTTTTTTTCTGCCTGTATGCACAGTTCAGGAACTTTTAAGTAAGAAAACATGGTACAAATATTTTGGTTGGTTAATGCTATCTTTTTTTGTTTTTTACCTTAACTTCATGTAGATGTGACTTTGAAAACACTTCAGTGGCATCTTCTGTAGTGGGATCAACTGAAGTCACTCCAGCTGCACACACACACACAAATCAGAAAAAAAAAAAGTGAAAATGATTCTCTCAAGCCTGTTGCTTAGAACATGTTAGAGACGTTTAGGAAAACTGAAAGAACTGACAATCATAAATACTATTGTGACCAAAGACTAGCAGTAGATAAAGAATGTTTGGAAGCTGATAAGAGAGCACAGTGTCTAAAAAAGCTCATGAACAAAACAAAGAAGAATACTTCAACCTTCAAGCTATTAGTCTCTGCTTATTTCCTAAACTTATAAATTTGCAAATAAAACCAATCTGATAATAGTACACTGAGTGGTCACAAGTAAATAGACACCTAATCTTTTGTCATTTAACTGATTTATGCTAACTAATTTGTGTTCACAGA